CCCTGCCTGCTGCAGCGCCCATCCCCGCGACCCTGCCTGCTGCAGCGCCCATCCCTGCCTGCTGCAGCACCCATCCCTGCCTGCTGCAGCGCCCATCCCTGCCTGCTGCAGCACCCATCCCCGCGACCCTGCCTGCTGCAGCGCCCATCCCCGCGATCCCTGCCTGCTGCAGCGCCCATCCCCGCGATCCCCGCCTGCTGCAGCACCCATCCCCGCGATCCCCGCCTGCTGCAGCACCCATCCCCGCGATCCCTGCCTGCTGCAGCACCCATCCCTGCCTGCTGCAGCGCCCATCCCTGCCTGCTGCAGCGCCCATCCCCGCGATCCCTGCCTGCTGCAGCACCCATCCCTGCCTGCTGCAGCGCCCATCCCCGCGATCCCTGCCTGCTGCAGCGCCCATCCCTGCCTGCTGCAGCACCCATCCCCGCGATCCCCGCCTGCTGCAGCGCCCATCCCCGCGATCCCTGCCTGCTGCAGCACCCATCCCCGCGATCCCCGCCTGCTGCAGCGCCCATCCCCGCCTGCTGCCAGGGGAACACTGCCCTTGCAGGAAAGCAGCGCGGCGCAGAAGGGCGGCTGCTGCTGCAGCTGCAGGAGGCTCGCATCATCGGCTCACGGGTTTGTTGTTAACAGCTGATTACGAATAGAAGTGGTAAAGCGGCACAGAGTGTAAAATAGCTGTCCAAATGGGGATGATGGCTGCGGCAGCAGAACTCGCTGGTGGTGATGCGGCTCTCCCTGCTGATATTTTGATAAGATAAATGGCAGTGTGTTAACACGTATTTGGCAAAGGGGTAATCAACAACGGGGAACGTGAAGTTGCCTTGCAAAGCTTGCTGAGCTTCAGGAATTTCCTTCTAAGTAAGGCTTTGAAAAGCCTTCATTTTCTTTAACCAGCTGAAATTTGACACATATCCTCACTTGATCTTAGCATGGTTTTCTGCTTAACCTATGTATAACATGCATATATTTTGGCATTTCCCAACAGTACTTTAAATTTTCTTTACAGTAAGCTGCTACCTAATTAGTTTTGACATTGTAAGATGCTACCCACAAATACCCTGCATATACTCTCTGCTCTGCATAGAATATAGATATCTCTATGTGTGGTGAAACCTTCCATGACCAATACATCAATCAAGGAAACACCTTGAAGGGGCAAAATGAACTCCACCCAAACCACGTTAAAATACAAGCACAAAAGGTTTTTAAAATGGAAGACTAAAGCTTTGCTTTTGAGCTTGTATTTTTAGCATTAACACACATACAGGTCTTGCCCCCATAATCAGTAGCCTGAAAAGCTATTTGCATGAATGAGTGCACAAAAGCTTTGGAAAATCCCATTGTAACAATCCCAATGACATTTTTGCCCATTCAGAGGAATGAAAATTGGCTAGGAAGGAAACCAAACAGACTAGTTTTAATATTTACATCCATAGTTGATTGCAAATCTGCAGCTTTATGTTTTCTGGTAAGCAAGATCCCAAAATATTTAAAATATATATATTTTAAAACTTCTCTCTGCATAACATGTCTCAGCAGCCATTGTTTACCTATAACATGTGCTAACAAACTGAGGAAAACTGAGCAATACCTGTTACAAGAATGCTTTTCTGGTAGTGTTCCTGAGGTAAAGCTTACTTTTAAATTACTGGTAGTTTGATTTAAAAAAATAATTCCTCCACTGATTCCCTTTGTCACTTTTTAATATACCACTGCACCACAATGTATCATCATCCAGGGGAGTGGCATAACTCAGAAGCACAACAGTTAAAAATCCACTCTTCTTTGTCTGAATACTGATCTTACATAAGATGCTTGCTCCATATCCAAGGGAGGAAGAACAGATTTTTTTGGTGGCATTTCATTTCTTATTCTCTTTGATAACTTCAAATGTCCCAGGATATGAAATCCTGATTGCAGATGCAATTTTCTGTGGTGTGACACCATACAAATTCTTGTTTTGAGGACTTGAACCACACAAGTGAGGTCATTGACTAAATGTGAACTCTTGCATTTGAACATTGCATATTGATAAATAAGAAGGCTAAGGAGACCAGTCTGATGTTGGCTTCTAATACAATAAACAGGGCAGGAAGTCAAGCAGGGGAGATTGTATTTGTGGCCTGCAGAGGAAAAGAACACCGAAGTCTTGGAAAAAAAATAAAGGACAAAGATCTTTGCATGATTTCAGTGTATGGAGAAGTGGGGGCTTTTCCTGAATCTATAATAGAAGGTGACAGCAGCCACAGAAATTGCAGCAGTGACAGGAAGCCCTGTCAAATCTCAGTTGTGTGAATGCAATCGTTTGCTGAAGCTTTTAGCAGAGATTGAAGCAGAGAAAAGGATGACTTCCATTACAAAATGACAAAGCTGCCTGCTTTTTATTAAAAATCAGGTGTAACAAAAGTAAATTTTGAAGTGGCATGAAGGCACCACCAACTTCTGCCTCACACAGCCAGTGCAAAAAACGGGGAGAAATGAGTGCTAGTGAGAAAGAAAAAGGGACAGCAGCCAGCTTTCCCCTCCTGTCGGTTCTGAGAGCAGGAGTGTTGCTGTGCCTTTAGGGAGCGCAGCAGCCCTGGCAGCCCGGCGCTGCTGCGGGGCTGGGAGGATGCAGGGAGCGGAGCCAGGGCCACCCTGCAGTGCCCGTGCGGGGTGGGAGCGCAGGGGTGGCTGCAGCCAGCAGCCGGAGGGTGGCCAGGGGTCTGAGGGCTTTCTGCAAGGCTGGTCACGCAGGCAGAGCCCTGGTGCCACGCCCTGCCCCAACACCAACACCTCTGCCCCATCCCACTCCTTTCTGCTGAAGCCAAGGCTATGATTTTCTTGAAATGCAGAACCAGAATTTTACCATTTAAAAGCCATTAAAATTGGTTTTTGCATACAGATATTCCCAAGTCCTACCTCTGCATTAAAAGACAATACAATTTTTTAATGTGGGACATTTCCAATGTCCTGGACACGCTGTGCCAGTTTTCTTTCTTACAAGGGCGATTGAGAGGCAGAAAAGCCCTGTTTTTAGGTTAATTTATCAAGCATTTTTGTACCACAAGTTTGACGGGGGAGGCGGGCTTAGCTAAAATGAGGAGCTTTAAAACCAAACCATGACACAAGCAGCTAGGGACTGAACTCTAGCTGGTGGGAAGAGAATGCAAGAGCAATGGGAAGGAAGCAAAAAGCTCCCTGGCCCGGCCCATCACACCTCCAGCAGCAGTTTTTCAGCACAGAGCAGCGGCTGGAGCTAAGCTGCACTGGCAGCACGCCTTTCCTCATTAGCTTCCCTTCCCCGCCGGGAGCTCTACCTGTCACCAAGGCTTAGTTCCAGGTGGCTGTGCTGCTCTGGTAGCCACAAGCCAGGAACCTCTGCCAAATTGAAAGGAGCAGGAGTTACATCCATAATGCAACATGCCACGCTGTGGGCTTCTGACAGGCCTGCAGTGCCACAGTTGCAAGTTTTAAGAGATTTTTTGGGGCCTTTGGTATCACTTTGAGCAGCTTGTGCATTGGCCAGGCTGTGTGCATTCTGTGACTCATTGACAGTGGCATTTAAAAACCAAGCCAAAACCCCAAAGATTTTGGGCTGACAATCAGACCACTCCTTACACAACACACAGCGGGAAAGCTGCATCAGTAGGAAATGAAACCATGAAGTGAAAGGGGAATAGTTCTCCAGGAAGCTTGGCAGGCTTGGGTCCATGAGGGGTGGCTTTAAAGGAAAATTTGCACAAAAAAAGCATGCAGACTGCTTCACAGGAGTACCTTTTCAGACAAATAAGCCAAGGGAAGAGAAGCCACATTCTAATGATTTGTAACAGTTCAGTATATTGTAAACATCAATTCTGAGTATGTTGGTGTATCATTGACTACTGAGGTAAATGTCTGGAGTATTTAATTTTCTTTTTTAAATAAAAAAATGGTGTGTTCCAAAGCTCTGGTTCATCAGAAGACTGGAGCAAACATTTAGAGTGTATATCATAGACAAGGGAGACTGAATTTCATCTTAAGTTTACTGAATTCCTTTGGGATGTTATTATACTATTTAAAATTAACCCAAATACTTGCTGGATATATGGGTTTGATTTTTTGTTTGGTTGGGGTTTCATGGGGGTCTTTTGTTTGTTTGGGGTTTTTGGTTTGGTTTTTTTTGTGTTTTTATTTTCTTTTTTTTTTTTTTTTTTAAATTTAATCTGATATTCCAGGCCAGCACAGGTTATTCTGAAGATTTATGGGAAATACATCTCCTAAGTATCTCCTTAGATTGATGCAGAGTAATTAGTACCACCTCTCTTTCAGTACTATGGCTCACATAGTAACATAATAAGCATAATGTTGTAACACATATAAAAATAAGAAACAAAGGGGTGTTGTTCTGATACCATTATTTTTTAATTTCATACTTATTGAAAAAAAAAACCAACCACCCAAAGAAGAAAGTAAAACATTAAAACCCTTCCAAATACATTTCTCCCTGTTACAGGGACATGAATATCCTGTGTAATGGCTTCAGATCACCTCCACGACAAATTAAAGGTATAATACATTCTTTGTGGAGGTTTCCAGGGCAAGCTTCATTTAAGATATGCAATATGGTAGGATGAATAGCTCTGCTTCCCTAAACCACCAAACTACTCTTTTTGACCTCCTTTTATTGTTTTGCAGAGTTTTACAGAAATGTAGCATAGAATCACCCAGAAATGGCTCAATGAAATCATCACTTACTGTTTGTTGTGCTGAGACTTGTAGTTGCTGCTGAAGTCACTGTTGTTGGTTTTTCTGTTATAACTTGTGTTGTTTGTGATGTCGCATTAGGTGAAGAAGGCGTGGGGCCTAATACAGGAAAGACATTCAATTTATTTCCTTGATTTTGTAAACACTTATAAAACACACCTACTGCCCTGCTTGCAGACTAATTTTAAATTATCAAAAGGATATTGAATTGAAATTCAAGATCAACAGGGGCAGGGCCCCACTGACTGCAGGGAAAGCCACTCCCTGTCCCACAGGTGGGTCACCCCACTGCAGACAAGCCTGTGACAATGCATTTGGAAGGTGTAGCCTGGAGCTTCTTTTAAGCCTGACCAGAAGGGAGTTCCTGCACCTGTAAGGTTGTGCCAAAGAGTACACTCCCTGTAAAACAAATTCCCAAACCAAGAGGCACTGCTGCCTAATTTCCTCAATGACCCGTAGAACAGCATCAATTACTTTGGAGATTGTCGCTTACTGTTTGTGCTGGTTTCTTGTGTAGTTCTGGCGGCAGTTGCTGTCAGCACTGGTGCTGGCACTGTAGTTGTTGTTGTTGTTGTTTGTGAAGTTGCTGTAGTCTCAGGTTCCACTAGCACAAGAAAGGCATTCACATCATTATTTATGCCTAAATAAACATCACATTGCTCTAGCTGTGTTCTCTTACCAAGGCAGTGAATTTCTGTTTAAAGGCAGGCCCTCACAGAGCTTTTTATCCACAGACTTTTAAAGAGGATTCCAAGTACATATGGTTGGTTTCAGAGGGGAGGTTTGGCCTGTGAATAACCTGCAATTGCCTACTGAAAGGTAGCAATTGTACCTTCCAGCCAGCCCCTAAAAGAGAGGCACAGGATCTTTGGGGGTTATACAGAGGTGCTTGGCTTGACTTCCAAGCGAAGAAGTGAGGGGAGCAGAGCCTGGTGTGGATGGATGGGTTCAGTGTGCTGGTGGACCATCCCTCTGAGCAGCACTTTGCTGCATACCTCTTTAGCAGGAGGAAGGATGTAAAATCTCCATAAAGAAGTGTGAGTGACACATGGAACACAGCTTATAGATTACAGGTAAAGAGCTGAAGGGGAACAAACTCCACTAGTCTTTGAGCAATTTTTCCCTGTGCTTGCCCACCTTGAGACACGTTTGAGTCTTCTTCATTGACCAGCTTTCCCAGACCTCCTTCCTCTTCATTCAGACTTCTGGGGGAAAAGGAGCACCCAGCAGGCCCTCCTCTTTGGACTACAGTAAAGCTTAGGATATTGTGGATGATATGAATAGTATTCTCTAGTAAATTATATTCCTTGGGGTGAACTCGGTACCCTTTGTAAGGTGACTCCTAGTTCTGTCCTCAAGAGGAATGAGACTTGGAGGCTGAAGGGAAGGGAAAGGGCTCCTGCAGGCAGCAGGGATCCCTTCCCAGCCACTGCTGGTATGGAGAGATGGGTGTAGAATTGCCAAAACATCACTAAACCAATAGCAAGGTTTAAATCACCTTGTCTTGCTGTGCATGGATGGTCTATTGCAGGTTCCAGGTACTCCCAGCACTTGCTCAAAGGAATGGATTTACCAAATTACAACCAGGAAATCTGGACAAAAAAAACCCATAACTAATCGATTTAAGAGTCCAGCTTTCAGTTCTGTGATATAATGCAAACAGGAAGTCCTACAGTCAGCTACAGAAGCTCAACTAAACACCTGACTACTACCTCTACCTACATATACTACCTCTCCTAGAATTTTTAATGGATAACAAACATGGAAAAATGGGAAGAAACTATTGCACCACATGTAATTTTCTCTCATACGACTTAAGTATTTCTAAATGCAATGTTCACACTGGAACTTTTGAAATATAATTTTTACTTTCTTTCTCTGCTCTCAGTTTTCTGGCTGTTCACCTAGAATAGCAATGCCTCAAGGAATGGGCCTCCTTGTTCCATACTCACAAATTATTTTAATCTCATACTGCATTTCTAATGCTTTCCTCATAGCGGCATAAATACTAACACTGCTTTCTCTTCTATGAAAAAAAGCTTCAAGAAAAATTTCAGTGAAACATCCAAAGAGTTAACTCATGTGAGGTACATTTATGAAGTATCTTTTAAACAGACATAAACATCAGGGTTTTGGAGAACTGCATAAAAGAGCTGCAACACAATTAGAATAGGTCTAAATCTTCTGCTGTAAAAAATATAATATACATATATTTCACCTGGTTGCATCTTATCCACCTCCATTACTAGCATTTCAAGTATATACTTCATAATCTCAGTGCTTTCAGCTCCACAGCAGACTCATTAGTATCCCCAGTTATCAAAAAATAAAATAGTGCGTCCATGTTGTCTTCTCTGATACATATAACTTATTAAATACAGGAGTCTTCAATATTCAGACTAATAAAGGAGTTCACATGATTGAAATATGGTCAATATTGATTTTTTATAAATTTTCATAACAAAGCTGCACAATAAAGATAGCTAAATTTGACAGTTGAAAATGTAGACCACAACGACAGACTTAATATCTGAAGCATGTATTTTCTCTGTTAAATCCTCCCGAACTGGGAGTTTTTGGTAATTTATTAATCTCTGATCTCACTTGAACCACTCCTTGAGAGTACAGGAACTCAGAGAACCTTTTTCACCTGAAACAAAAAGTGCAACCTGCTCAAATTAACTGTCTCCCTTCTAAGATATTTCAATCCTTTCTTTGCAATGGAGTTTCATAAGAGATTCGGGGAAGTACATTGCTCTATTATCACCTTGGATGAAATAATTCGCCTGGTTTCTCCCAGAAGCTGGAAAAGCTGAAAGCTAGAAGGACAACAGGATTTTCAGAATGTCAGATAACAGCAAATTGGAATTCTTACCAGCTTTTGATGTTATTGCAGAAGTGGTTGTCTTGACAGTAGTGGTTTGACTATCATCTTCTGAAAGAAACACAGAAAGAATTCTATTACTTCTGTACCTTCCAGATCTATTTAGCACTACACAGTCATAAAAGCAGAGAGCAGCTGGACCTTCCTGGAAAATCAAGTTCAGAAGCTTATCAGCAGAAGCAACCAAATCATATAACTCTGCTACCAGCATTTTCAAGCTATAGCCTAAATCTCTTCATTTTTCCCTGACTGCTGTAATGGGAAGCATCTGCTGCTGCCTCCCACTTTGGACTGCATGCTCTTTTCCCAGACTAGTTGGGAGGGGGGAAATGGAGGCAATTAAAGTGGTTTTTGCTATCTCCTCCTTTCCTTGAATACAACCACAGCTCTGAGTCTTCAGGGTGGAGGATTAACTAAAATAACTGGCCACAAGAGTAAGCAGCCTTTCTCCTGCCTTGAAGTAACAAAATTGTACTAGCTCCCTGGCTAGTACAAGCACGTCAGGAGGGCTTTTCAGCATCACCCTGATCCCTAAATGTGTGAGGAAGAGGAGAACTCCCAGAACGTGGCTCGAGAGCCACCACATTGAAAGACTGACTTTCCCTATTGCCCTCAATGCAGTGCTCCAGCTATTGGGGTTTTATTGCCATGAATGATGCCATTCTTAAAAGGTCATTAGAAGGCGGCTCTTCAATACTACAAAACAAATAAATAATCCAAAAAAAGAAACTTCAACAAACAAAAAGCAGCATAATCTGTCTCTTCTTACTGTGCTGCAAGGTTGTAACATCATAACTCAAAAAGTGTTTTGGCTTCAAACAAGATTTTCAGTCTTACTGCTGCGGTGTTCGTGTTTTTCTACTAAAAGAAGATAGGGGGTGTTGAAAGGGGTGAAAAAGCTGCACTGACACAGAAACAGGCATTTCTTAACCAGGCATTTTAGACTTCTGTGAGACAAGTATGGGTACATTTGAGGAGGAATAGATCAACTCTGTAACTGAATGGGAGAGGAAAATGGCACAGGCTAATCCCCATGTGCTGTCAGGTTTGAAGCGTGACATCCTGTCAGGCTGCATTAGCATGCTGTAATACAGACATGCTAAACTGAGTCAGGACAGCATGTCAGTATTCTTGTGTGACTCCATTCATGGTAATATCTGCTGGCATTCTCTCTTTTTTTGGCTACAGGGCAGAACAGTCAGTTTTGTTCCCTTTGCTCAGTGTACTGCGCTCCGATTAAAATTTTACGAGCATCCCCCAAAGCCTGCAAGAGCCACAGATCTAACCTGGGAAAAAACCCAACCAAACAATGTAATACAACTGCAGGGGCTCTGCAAAAGTGTATTAAGGTCTAACCAGATGAGCCCTTACAACTCCTCTCCAAGCAGTGTGTTATCAGCCCTCTTGACACCTGCATGTTTTCTAACGGGTCTCAGCCCCTTCCCAGGGAGCCCCACTTTCTTGGGCATCTTTTCTAGGTATGCTGTTGCCTCCATAATGCCTTTTCATAGCACATGCTGTCCTAGCTTGCCATGGGCATATCTTATATAAAATTAAATTAAATGAGTCTCTTATGGGCCTTATATTCTGCTCCAGTGCTACTCCCCAGAACACGTGGACACAGTCACACCATGCACAGACTCGTGCACACTGCATCAAAAATACAGGTTTTCTTGCCATGTGGTTACCGAGTCAGACTAATGCTTCATATCCCACACTTGAAAAACTTGGAAAACAAATTTTATCCAGAAAGACCTAAAGGCAATCTTGTTTCCCCAAATTGCAAGCATTTTTCCATCTCTTCCTTTTCATTATGTGCTGCTGACAAAGCTCCTGTAATCCCCCACACCACAAGGCCACAGCACTAGAACATAATGTTTTTTCAACAGTGCCTACATTTCATATGGTTTTGTTTTAACATATCTCAATATCTACCATGTCTGTAATGCCAGCTAAATGTACTAGCTGGCCAATCAGCTCATTCCCAACCTCACTCTTCCAAAACTCTTCCTCTAACTCAGCATGACTTTGTAGGAAGCTCATTGCAATACTTAGATTATTCATCCTTTAAAGCTGTTCCATTTAATAACCATGTTTATGGGCCAAGGTTTCCTCAAAACTAAAAAAAAGTGAATATAAGTTACAGTTTTATTATGACTCGTTATTTGTTGATTTTATCACAGGTTAGAGATAAACTAAAATAAATTCAATTAACAGAGTACAAAAGAGTTTTATGAATTAATTGTTTTCTTAAAATGGTGAATAATTAACAACACTTTAAAAATAAGTTGAAAACATAATGCAAAAATGTTTAAAACTTGACAGGATTGTGGGGGGAACTGTTTGATTAAAAGATATGATAGAACTGATAGCATGTTTTTCCACACCATCAGGAATAAGATATGCTCTTATTTGCAATGTTAAATTGTAACTAAGGAGAATCCTATGGGAGATAAAAGCAAGAGATCAAAAAAATGATAGAGAAAATAATTTTCACTATTAGAGATGGCTGATAGACAAATAAAGGGATGGAAATCTTAATTTTCCTGCCCATGTCAGGTTGGCTACAGGCTCAGATGATGGACAACTAAGTTACAATTGCCTGTTTTTTTAGCAAATTTGAATGCAGTGATCCCTTTGATATGAGAACACATGGATGTACTTTGACATAGGAGTAGCCAAAATCTACTGAGCCACTGTTTCCACCCAGAAACCATTGCCATTTGCTGTGTTTGCTGGCAATAAACCCAGCTGAAGGAGCATGGGCAACCCATGATGCAGCACCCTTGTGTCTGGAGAACCCACAGGGAGCTAAAAGGCTCTCAGACACAACACTGCACTGAGTAAAAGGGGGGATGCTAGTGGTGGTAAGATCTAAAAAGAAAACCCAACATGTTTCAAAGTAGACAATAAGGCAAAAAGAAATCCAGACTGGGAGAAACAGAACAAGAGAGAAAGAAGAGAAGGGCAGAAAGGTCCAGAGACAATAAGACAGGGTCACAGGGAAAAATACAAAGGAATTAAGAAGCAATCCAAGAATATGTGTCACATGGTCACAAGACCAAACTGAAAAGAGAGTAACTGGCTTGTTTGGGGTTTTTTTTCAGGTTCACAAAATTTCCATTTATTGTCTTTTCTAGGTTGGATTTAAATTATATATTTGTTCTAAAATGAAAGCATTGGTTTTCAGATTTTGAAAAGGATGAACCGAAACACTGAACTTACTTTCTTCTTTTAAATTCAGAAGGAGTCCTTAAATTTAGACAGGACTAACTGATAACTACAGTTGTCCTCAGACTGCAGCTTTTGATGTAGGCTTCAGTCTTTAAGATCAGAGCTTGGAGTTCTCATAACCTTTTCTCTCTCTTTTTTATTATTTTTACCTTTACACTGGAAAGATAGACAGGTTCTGATCTCATGTTAATTGGGTGCCTGTTATTGCTATAATCAGGACAGAAAAAAAAGGGAATGATTGCATATTATTATATCAGTACTTCTGTTTGTACCCTACAGGATACTACAGGTTACAAACCACAAAGTTTAAAACACCACATGAAACATATAATACAAAGTGAATGCCAAATCAAAAACATTTTAAAATATTAATAGACAGTTCAAAATATATATTGATTATATTCATTACATAAATTACTGAATTTAAGTGCTGTCTGGTTTGGCATCAATACCTAACTTTGAAAAGAAATTACTTTTATGGAAAAGTCACTCTTGTTACAGGTAACAATTGGAATGGCCTGTTTGACATTTCTTTCACTTGATATTGCACTAAATAGAGAAAATCTCATGGCTAAAATTGTTTCATTCAGATGAAGTACTTGGTCCAGCTTCAGAAACATGTGAAAAAGGATGTGAATTCCTGGAGGTGGGGAGTTAGCAGAGAACCATAAAAATCATCAGGAGTCTAGAGAAAAATGACCTCTCAAGGAAGGATTGCAAAAATTGCATTTGCTCAGCCTAAAGAGGGAAGGATTAATGGAAGGCACAACAACAGCAGTCAGTAGGTGAGGAGTTGCAGCCAAAACAAAGGAATATACTGATGTCCACTGAAGTTTGAATGAGAGGTAATGGACAAGGGAAATTTGAACTATAAACTCTGCAGGTATTTCAGTGCCTGTGTCAAACTGTTGGCATAAGAGCCAGCAACTGGTGCTTTCACCATTTTTCTGATGAGGATGTAATATGTTCCCACTCAAAACCTGACCAATGCTCTGTAGGCTCTACCTGGAAACAATTACCAAAGAGGTGTCCTGAGGAAACCTTCACACAATAATTCCTTGCTCCAAGGTTATAAAGCAGAATCTTAAACAGGTGTTTATATTATGTTTGTCTATTATGTATTATAGAATCACAGAATGGTTTGAGTTGGAAGGGATCTTAAAGATCATCTAGGTCCAATCTCCCTGCTGTTGGCAGGGACATCTTCCACTAGACCAGTTTGCTCAGAGCTCATCCAGTCTGGTCTTGAACACTTCCAGGGAATAAGCATTCACAGCATACCTGGACAACCTTTACCAGTACCTCACCTAACTAATTCTACTTTAATTCCAGTAAAAAATTTCTTCCTAATATCTGATCTAATGTTCCTAAACCTACTCTCTGATCTAAACCTACACTCTCAGGATGTTATGTTTTTTTGTGTGACCCTGAGCTTTTGCAACTACACACAAGTCACAGAGAAGTCAAAGTTGCTTTCTTGATTTCTGTTTTTCCACACCATCAGGAATAAATTGTGATCTCTTTCTAGCCCATGATAATTCTACCAGTTCTCATGACTGTGAAAGAGCCTCCTGTAACCACTGTTCCAGTAGTACCCATGTAAACAATGTATAGCTCATTAAAAAAAAAATTCATTTTTTTGAGAAAGTGATAGCTGTCCTTGTAAGAAAATCTAGTTCTAATCTGGGAACTCAGAGGTCCCAAAAAGTAGCTGCTGCCTGACACCGTACACAACTTGTTTACTCTTACCTTGGAGCTCTGTTTTCTGTTACATTTTCTCTTTCCTTTCATGCTGCTTCATCTCTACATGCTCTTATCTGGTCTTTCCCCAGGCCCAGTACAGTCCTTGCACTTCTCCCATTTTTGTTTTAATTACTCATTTGTCTTTCTTCCCAGTGTATGATAATTTATCCTAAACCTTGAGATAAATTTATTTTTTCTTTTGTAGTGCATTTTGTGTAAAGGTTCACATATTACCCAAAGAACAAAAATACAGATGTACTGATAGAAGAAGTTTAAGTGCAATTTTAACAGTGCTGTTTCAAACCATCAACTCCTTTCTTGCTATTCAAAGATCAAAAATTAAAAAAATCTGTTAATGAAACACTCCAGAAATAAATTTTCAGAAAAAAGGGGATAAAACACCCCCAGATATTTTTTCTGACAGAATTAATCTTATAGAAGTAATACTGTTTCTAGTATTTAATAGTTTCTGGCATTTAATCCTTAAGGACTCACACTTAAGATTTTCCTTCTATAGTCACATAAACAAGATTTTAAATGGGAACCAAGGTTCTGGTGTAATCCTGTGAATGAATGGCTGAAGCTGACAACAGCTGACACAGCAGATTAAGTGTGTAGAAGAATATTATATTAAACAAAGCCATTTGCAAACTTCATGAATTTGAAGCAAACTCAAAAAATCACACAAACTTCATGTTCTCATATTTCTTTAGTATGCAAAGCA